TAGACAATCGGAATGGCGGTGTCTGAAGCGATGGCTTTTTGTGTTCTTGAATTTATCAAAATAGAATCCGCAACTGCTGTGTAACGGCATTTTCAATCACGCGATTCAGAAAAGAACCTCCAACTACAAAATCTATTTAACATTAGTGTGAAAAGTTTAAAGCTACAGGTTTTATTTGTGCAAAAATTAAAAGTCCTTTACGAAGCTGAAACAGCGCATTACACCCGCTATCGACTGGCAAGACATCCAAACACGCATTAGTTGTAGAAAGGGAATACCTATACGATTAGTGTCCTGGGTCTAAGGGTACATACTGAGAACATTTTTGACTGTCTGTAACAAAAATAATCCCATACAATTCTGTTGCAGGGGACATAATATCTTACATTGTTCTTGATTTTAGTGGATTGAAACTATATACTATTTTATGAATCACAAGTATAATGGATTTCTATTGATTGAATGATTACTTGTTAACTTCAAACACTGAAACAACACGCGAGGGATATGAAATATTTCTAAATTTATATATTAAGGCAAAAATTTAAAGAAGTAATACTGAGAAACTAGTACTCCAAATGGGTATTTTTAACATTAGTACAAACTCTTTAATACAAATATCTTTTCTAAGAGAAAAATATCTAAAGTATAGAGTGACAAATTAGCAGGAGTAATTACAAACATATTGCTTTTCAATAACAATGGATTGCTTTTTTTAAAATTTAATATCACCTGTACAGTAAAACGTGTTTTTGTTCGGTAGATAGGGACTGCATAAAATAAACCGCAAAAAAAAAAAAATTATTCGAAAACTTCATAAATTCTTATATATAACAAACAATTTCGTCGAAATACTACAGAAATATTTTTTATGCGGTCCCTTTCCACCGCAAAAAAACGTCGCACTTATAAAATATTACAATTATTAACTAAATTTATGAGAAAATACTTCCGCAACAAAATAAATAATTAAATTACACCTGGAAACATTTTAAAATCCTCCAGTTTCTCATTGTATACATGGAGAAGTTTTCAAAATGCTCATTCATAATTCACTGCTACTTATCGTAATCGACAACGCTCATATGTTTCTTATGCCACCTGATCTCGACTGCGTCAGATTCAGGCCCACGAAACTCATCATGGCAGGGGGCTAGATGTACGCCTGTATTTGGCCGCAGCCTTGAGCACCATTCAGGTGACTGTACGATTTAGCTCGGTTCCACCCCAATTTTGAGGGAGAACACCCTGGGGGAGGGTCAGGGGCCTCACACCTCTATTCCTCTTCCGCCAACCTCACGAGAGGACTTGTGGCTTGACAATATTTAAAGTACGCCCATGCCGCAAAGGCATTATACATTTAAAAACATCCATATCTTCTCCGGGATTCAAACCCAGACCCTACGGCACAGCATTCAGCGTCGCTAACCACTATACCAGATGGGCTAACCCCTATACCGACAGTTCTCATCTTCCTGTGATGAGTAAGTTCAAAATCACTTTCGTCACTTGAAGATACAATTTAAATTATTTTTTGTCACTATAAAGTAAGAAGTTTTTGCTACGAAGGTCGGTTGGTCAGTTGCTTGTAAATGTCACGATAACCAGATAAGCATGATTGTAGCTCTTTTTTGAATTACATATTCCTTTCGGAATTGGTATCAATAAAAGAACAATGCTTTTCCCTGCATATATTTTATCAACTCTCAAAGCATCCGGTTCTTCTTGTCCGTCTTCATAATCTATTAAATTATTGATAATGTCACTGATTGTCAATTATTGATAATGAAAGCTTCGTCTTCAATCAAGCGCGGGCTGATGGCGCGTTGAGAGAAAGCAACTGAACGTGCATTTGTCGGGAGACTGTTTATAACGAATGGACAGAGCGTCTTGATGTGTATATATACGCATTACAGTGGCGTAACATACAACCCCGTTACCCCCGCATCACGGGGAAAGGGCAGTATTCTATGGAGCCCAAGACCTGACTAACGCTAAGTACGTATTTACCCAATTAATAAAATATTAAAGTCAAAACCTGACTTCGCAAGGGGCCCTAATATTCTCCGTTACGCCACTAGTAAATTGATAGAAAACATTACATTGGCGCCAAAGCCATTGAAATTCATATACCGCATAAAAAAGGATTCGCATAGAAAAAATCGCGTAAAAAATGATCGCACAAAAACAGGTTCTACTGTATTAGAAAGTTCGCAATCTACATATAAAGGATATGCTTCAAGTTTGAAGACGCCACGTTGTTGAGTATTTGTTTGCCAGCCATCAATAGTGAACGTTTTCAGTGAATTTGAGAAAATGGAGAAAATTGACCATCGTTATGTTACAACATCGGTATCGTTACAATACTGTTACTTGAAAGGCCTCAGCACAACCAATATAAAAGCTGAACCAAATTCTACTCTTGGTGTGTGTGTGAGTCTGCCCCTTCCTTTACAACAGTAAAATATTGGGTAGCAGAGTTTAAACGAGGCCGTACGAGCTGCCAAGATGAGCATCGCAGTGGTCAACCAAACGAGGTGACGACTCCAGAAATGGTGAAGAAATTCCACAAAGCGGTACTGGATGATCGTCGATTAAGAGTGGGTGATGTAGTAGAGATAGTAAACATTTCAAAAAGTGCGATGCATCGCATATTATCTGAAAATTTAGACATGAGAAAGCTGTTTTTCAAGATGGTTGCCGAGTTTGCTCACACTCGAGCAAAGACAGTGTCATGAAGATGTTTCAGTTGAATGTTGGGCGAAGTTTCACAGCAACAAAGCAGAATTTTTGTGCCGTTTCATAACCATGGACGAAACATGGGTTCATCACTTCACACCCGAGACAAAAGAACAGTCAAGACAATGGACTGAAAAGGGAGTACCGGCTCCAAAGAAGGCGAAGACCGTTCCATCAGCAGGCAAGGTTTTGGAGTTGGTTTTATTGGGATGTTTGTGGGATAATTTCCATTGACTATCGTGAAAAAGGAAAAACTATCAACGGCGAGTATTTCACGAACTTATTGCAACGTTTGAGTGAAGAAATTAAGCAAACACTTCCGTATTTGGCTGAGAAGAAAGTGTTGTTTCATTAAGACCTGCTCAGAAATCTGCTGTTATTGCAATTGCCAAAATTAATGAATGAAAGTTTGAATTCCTACCTCATACACCCTATTTGCCAGATTGAGCCCCCTTGGATTATTTTATATTCCAAAGGTTAAAAAATGCCGCCTATCTGGTATAGTGGTTAGTGACGCTGACTGCAGTGCCGTAGGGCATGGGTTTGAATCCCGGAGAAGGTATGGATGTTTGTGCTGTATTCCTTCCTTCTGTCCTTTATGTTGTACGCCCCCCGTGTGATACATTGTGCGTTGCACGAGGTTTGTAAATGTTCTCAATAAAAAAAGTTAAAAATGACTTAATGGTCAAAGATTTTCCAACGATGAAGAAGTGGTGTTGACAGTTAATGGTTACTTTGAGGAGAAATAAAGTTTTTATTTAAAAAAGGTATCGAACTTATTGAACATTACTGGAAAATTGTATAGAGCTGAAAGGAGATTATGTTGAAAAATATACTTTTCCCCCAAAACTTTTGGGTTTTTTTTGTCGGGTCGTTTACTTCTGGTACCACCATCGTACGTATCAATTTGATTTAATGGCAATTACTGAAAATCTGTTTGAAAAAATGGAATTAATATAATTAAAAAAATAATACAAGAGTTTCTCTAATTTACCTCTCCTGAATATTAAGGACCAATCAATTTACTTTAAATATCTACAACTTTTAATTTAGTTTTGACGTAAAAAGTCACTTTTCTAATTTTCCTTGAGAAAAAAAAAAGAGGGGATGGGAGAAGCACCACTCTTTTTATTAAACCCTGCACTTTAGGATCCTTCCCTTATCGTATAGAGCTTTAGGGTGTCTTTACACCTGAAGTAAAAACGCTAATTGTAACAGTTTTCGAAACATTGTTAAATCTGGAATTTTTTAATTCTCCACATGTTTAACATTTAATTACTTCACGCTCTACGGAGTAATTCCTGCTGTACCATTAATCTATTACAGAAGTTAATTACGTTGGCAAAATAGTTTCCTGTTATCTCAGGATTCAAAATTGTTTCAACCGTATATTATCCTTGTACGAAAACAAAAGATAACTATCGTTGTTTTAATATATTCTTTACACATTCGATGTTATTTAATTTCATTTATAGGAGGAGGTAAAATTAATGGAAGTTATTTATTCATAAAAAAATAGTTAACATGTAAATGATTGAAGCCATTCATTACACACCATATAAAAAAGAAACAAGTAATATAAAAAAAATTAAGTCAATACCTTCTTAGGTCAACAAAGAAAAATTTTATTTTAACTACCGTAAAATCCGGCGTATAACGCGCACACATACTTTCCAGCTGCATTTTTTTAATTTTTAGGTATGTTCGCTGTATAACGCGCATCCCCTTTTATACAAAGAAACCGGAAATGTACGTGCGTAATGCTCTTATGTTTTGAAGTCATTTATTCGAAGTATCATCCGAAGCTTTAGGATAAAAATAAAATATTTCTAAAACTACATAACCCTTTCATAAGGAATGTAATTTCTTTTAAATAAAAAACGGTATTTCGATATAAGTAGAAGAATAATTTTTTATGCCCATGTCTTTTTATTTTTAAAGGTCTCATTTTCATATTTGGCGTATAACGCTCACCTTTAACTTTCGATCTTATTTTTTGCATTAAAAGTGCGGATTATACACCGGAATTTACGGTACTTTCTATTAAATAGTTATAATTATTATAAATATGTGTATATATATGACAAATTGCAATCTTAAGTGAAAAAATAGAACTATTTTCCTTTCAATTTTCCAATTTCCTTTCTACGTATGAAGTTGGACTATTTTTTTGTTCGCTACTGCTCTTATTCATTAATTAAATTTAATTATTCTAATAAAATAGTATAGTAAAAAAGAAATCCCATTCTCAGAAATTAGGTCATCCCAGATGGAATTTGAGCCTACAACTTTTGGATTAGAAGTCCAACGCGCCATCCATTGCGCTACAGAGACACAACAAACAATTTTCTTTTCTATAAAGGCAGTTGAACCATTATTTTGGTTTTTTTACTATTTATTCATTTTTTAATTTAATTAATGAATTAGTATTTGAAAAAACTTTTAACATCAAGTGTCATCCACTATAAGTTTAAGAAAATGTATTTGAAAATGTATGAATAAAAAGTATTTCATTAACGATTGAAAATTTGAACAAGAAAAATATATTATATACATACATATATATTGTTACGTAGATCGGGGTTCGAGGGTTTTATGCAAAAGCAGTCGTAAGCAACAAGACAGTTCTTTGCGAGCGATGCGTATTTTTTGGCGTAAATCAATCCATAAAAATACAGGATTCAACAGCAAAGTTCACAGAATAAATAACAGACGGATTTCACACCTTCAACAGCACTCAGACACAATAAGCAGTGTCTAAAACACACGTATGTAAATGATTATTCACAAGCACAGCCGAGCTGATTAAGTTCAAGGCAAGTCTACTAATCGCTAATCAAAACAATGCTTACTACTCGCTGGTTGAAATCAGACCGACTGTTGCGGCGAGTATCGCTCTATTTATTAAAAGGGGCCGAAATTTCTGGAAAAATGTGCTCGTGTCACAGATCATAAAAATTAGTGGATTTTTCTACTAATTTCTAGAAGAATCCAGGTCCCGAACTCGCCAACATGGTCGCCAACTTGGTCGCCAAAAATGATGCCAACGGCTCTATCGCCAATATTTCGCCAAGTTCCCATTGAATTGTCATTATAACGTAAGGGCTTGCTTGTGAATATTACAATCTTAACATGAAATAAATATAGAGTAATATAAAGGCATTGCACATCCAAATCAAAATTATTTACATTATTTTATACAAAATTCGTAACAATATATAGGGAGAGAGTGAACTAATAGTAGGAATTGAAAAAATATAAGCATAGTAGTGGCATAATACAAGCATAATGTCCCGTAAGACACGTCATACGCATGTGGGCTACATCGAATATCTTTATAAATAAGCCAATAATCAGCATTTAACCCAGTGTTTCTCATAGTTTTAGTATTTACGACCCAATATTCAATCATAATGACTCTAGGCTACATAGAATATGACTTTAACCTCTTAAGTGCCACCAGCGTATGCAAACGTCTCGCTCAGCCAAAGCATTAATTCCCCGGACGTATATATACGTCTTTCTAAAGTACGATTTTTTCTGTGCACTGCTATCCATAAAACTATTCTGAAGGCCTTTGAGTGCAATAAAAAGGTCCTTGACAGTGTTTTTCTCCCCCCCCCAATACATCACATACGCGCGCATACGTGGAAAGGGGTGGCATTGGAGAGCGCGAATTGCGTGTATATATATAGCTTTTAATCTGCAGTTAAGGGATTAAACATAGACCGTACAGCTGATTAAGATAAGTGCTAATTTTTGTATATAATTTTATGCCCATGGGGTCATTAATATAATTAATGTTGTTCTTAACTTAGTATTGTTAAATTAATTATAAAATACATTGTGCATTACTGATACATTTATAAGTGTATTATATCAGTGTAAATGTGTATTTCATTTTTTATTATGTCAGAATGTGTTTTGTTTGTTAACTTTCAGTAAATTTTTTTTGAAAATAATCTTTTGTTTTCGACTTTTTAGTGTGCTCGCGCCCTCCTCGTAGAGTTATCACGCCCTTCTAGGGAGGCTCACCCCACACTTTGAGAAACGTTGATTTAACCAGCTAACTGATTGACGAGTATACTCGCCACGGAGAAGTTTCAGGATTTTGTGTCATGAGGAGTATATTCTCGCCATGCGTAAAGTAACATTGGCTATTTAAATTGTAATTTTTGAGAAAAAACATTTTCTCAAATTTAAAGATGAAAAAACAATTTGACGCCAGGCTGGAGTAAGACAAAGAGAAAAAAATGTGGAAAATTTAAGATGAACTCATTCATTTCCGTATGTGTTGCCTAAAACAGCGTAACAATATTCTCACAATGAATTCATTTATTTGCGCGATGAATGTTTTTTTTCAATGTTAGCCTAAAAAGGGGCAAAAGCAAAAGTTGGAAAGTTGATTAAGAAATTTTAAATCTTACTTTTATATATTTTTTTTGCATTTTTCGAGTAATATATATGAAATATATGTTTATGTTAACCAAATAAATAAGTATTGGTTGCAAAGTTGGCAATTTTATAAAATAAACCCATCCTTTGATTCAATACTTAAACAACGACACTTATCCTGTGAGTGACGAGTATACTCGTCATCACTCGATTTTCGTGACACACAAACAAAAATACCACAAACGAAACTGCCACAGTTAATTGGTTAATAAATATTATTATACTTGTAGTAGCTTAGTTTCTCAAATTTGGGATAATATATAATTTTTATATTCAAATTTAAAAAACCATAAGAAAAATATAATTGTCGTAACTTTTGTTTGTGAGCAATTACTAGTCATGTTAAATCGGCTCGCTATTTCCCACAGCAACAGCAGCGAAAGATTTAGAGGCTGATAAAATATCCACCATGACATTTGTCTTCTGCTATGCCCTATAGACTCAAAGTAGGCATAGCAGAAGAATAGTACACACATCAATTCTATAAATTGATGTGTGTGTGTGTGTGTGAGTGTGATTCTGCTTCCAGAGAACACTTTTTACTCTGCTCTTATTAATTTGTCCAGTTTTCTGTGTCTGATAAGTTAATGTAAAAATAATGATTTTTGCTTAAACTTTATGATTTTAGGTTGTGCAATTACTCTTCTATTTTAGAACTTTGTGTTCAGTATGTTTTTATCGTAAACCAGGCGGTATAGTAAAGCTAAAAGAAGAATTACTACCTAGAATGGTTATTTTCCAAGATTTGAAGCATTGTTATTGCATAGAAGATAAATAATCTACTTAATGTGTAATAACGCAATTGTGCTCCAGAGTTTATATAATTATGAACAAAATAAACATATGATACAAATATTAAGTAACCATACTATGTTAGAACCTGAAACCACCGCCAGAGAGCGTCAAGTGAAATAAATTCAATGACTTCCGATGAGCATACATTTTGCTATTGAATTTGGAAACTTCTTTTTACATATAATTCGGGTATAAATCACGATACACGAGTCTTCTTATGAACGCCTTATATGCTCATATGGTGGACTATATCGTGTTTTAGATCTGTTTCAGACATCATATGTTTGTGCGAATTGTGCATTTTGTTTTCCTTTTTTGTTGTGATGCAATTAGAATTTAAATGAAACGCTCATATTTTTTGAATTTTTAGAAAACATCGAGCTACTAAACAAATCGTATGTTTCAAACTGGGGCTTCGTCCAGGAATCGAGTAAGGGCCACCGGTGTGTTTGGAAAGCATTCTACCACTGAACCAAGAGAGCTGAGGAGGAGCTGACCACTGATGAGGAGCTGTTAAAGCCGATTACTGATGTGAAGGCTGGCGCAAGACGCAATGTGAAAAGTCACTGGAGCCTTGAAAAGTCCCTGAAGGTGTGAGAGCGTACTAGCCAATCTAGAAACTAGGCTTAAAGAAAGTCTTGGAGAGTGAGTTGGAGCGTCTCGATTTCCCCGTTTTGTGTCTTTAAATGTGGAATATGTCGCACCTTTAAAAGAGACACGTGACTCAGAATCCTTTCTGGTTGGACTATTCGATCATTGGTCCTTGTCACCCTTCATGCAGTGGACTTTGAAACCGATTAGCGTGGGAACTGCCCCGGTCACTTCTTTGTCGACTGGATAAAGGGAGATCAAAAGTTGACTTGCCCTAGGACTCAAGCGTCCTTAATGGTCCTGTGTTGGGTACTTTCCCACTCGAAACTGCAGGACCGTTGGGAAGTCACTGATTCCCTAACAGGAAATCGGCCCTTTTGTGGAGACCGTCACAGAGAGGTATTTCTGATTCGCAAGTAAAGTAATAAACAACCATTGCAGCTACATATAGTATCACCTATGTGATTTATTCATTAGAAGTTAATCAATGGCTTAAAATAAATTTTCCATTCTTGAAATAAAGAGACTTAGGATCTAGAAACTTAAATAAGATACATGAAGAACTGTTCTACAGCTGTAAACCCTTATTGGGGGTGATCTTAGTTCCTCTTGGATGAAAAAATAAAGCTAAATAGTACGACTGATGCATTTCTAAAACACTTATTCAAAAAATAATTACACTTATAATGATCATGCCACCAACTCAGCTCAAAGAAAGTGAAGAGTGTGTAGCGAAGATCAGAATTCTAAATACTATACACCAAGACAAATATTCAAGCATCGAATAACAATTAACATTGTGGAACACTTATATGAGAAAACGTGCACGAATAAACACAGAATACTAACGAGTTTTTCAATGGAATTTCACGTCAAATTATTGCAAAAGAAATTTATTCTAAACTTCAGACTCCTCGGTTGAACGCTCGTATTGATGTAATGTAGTATACAGTAATGGTTTTCAAACGTACTAATAAACGCTTCAGTGCTAAAAGAAGAGTTCGATAATGTGTCTGGGAAAACCGCCAGCGGTCGTTACACGTTTGTTTCAATGTGTAACTAACAGAAGTTGACGCTAATAATTCTTAGTATTTCCAATGTAACTTGATAATTCATTATCCATGTCATATTTCTTCTAAAGTTGGGAAATATATCATAAAGGTATAATAAAATAGTTAAGTTCATAATGCGTTTTTAACATTCAGTTCGTAATCGGTCTGACCTTATATTACGTGACCTTGTATGTGAATATAAAATTTTCATTTCTGTCAAATCACTGCAGGAGATAAACTACCATAATGTGTACCATTTATAAAAATTAAACAAAACCACTGGGGAAGTTAATTAATGTGGGTTAGTGTAGTTATACACTTCAACAGAACTTTCTACTTATTAATGTTTACCACACATTAATCATGATGTTCAGATATTTAAAAAAAATTTACCATCTCTTGATGTCCTTTATTTATAAAAATGATATGTTCAGTTATAAT